TGTGAGAGATTCTATGTCAGAATTACAATTGAATAGGAAAAAGTTAAAATGAAGGCAATAATAGAGAAACAAGAGCTCCAAGTGTCAGAGTCAGAATCCAAGCTGAGCCCCTGTAGGGCAGGGTGGTGCTGCAGCCCCGTTGCAGTGATGGATGTGCTCTCGTCCAAGCGCTGATCCTGCACACAGCTCCAGTCCGTCTCTGCAGCTCCAGGGCTGCTTCTGGAGCTCCTCTCCTCTGGGAATGCAGTGGCACAAGTGTCCCAGTGTCCCAGAGCCTCAGTTTCTGTGCCAGTAGGGATGTGCAGTTCCTCCTGTCTGGGCRGAGAATTCCATCCCCATCTCACAATGGGATCAGACCCAAAACCAGAGCAGGGCAGTGGAAACACCACGGGTGGGAGATGAAGGAGTCCTGAAGATCCTCACACCTGAGTACCCCACTCACTGACTCCAGGGACAGCTTTAACAATTGAGAGATTAAAAATACACACACACACACACTGGTTTAGTTAATCATGTGCTTTCTGAGCTTTTCCTTCTCATTTGAGTTCTATTTTTGATTTTGTGGGCAGATTGAAAAGAGGGTGAGCTGAGGCTGCTGCTCTGCCCAGAGAGGGGTTCCTGGCAGGTCTTGAGTGGGATCATCCCCCATGGCTGCCAGGAACATCAGAAATTTCAATGGAAAATCAGGGGATGTACAGAACTGGAATAAATTTCTCAAAATTACATCAGTCAGCAAATAAGGAAAAATTGTAATTGCTGTGGATAAATGAAAATGGGATGGATCAGATACTATTTCACATTGCAGACTAACAGCCTCCTCTGGGTGTTTAAATTGTGCTTTCTGCATCCATTACTAAATTTGAAACAGGTCTTCCAGAGCACGGCAAAGGTTTCAAGGGTAATTAAATTCTTACAAAACGTTAAAGAAACAGGCAACTGGCTGCGAAAAAGGCAGTGGAAGYATCCTAAAGTGATGGAGACATGGCTGTGTGAGCTGGGAGTGCAGCAGGATAATCAGCTGGRGAGGGTGCAGATCCCAGGGGAAGCTCAGCCAGGACCTGGGGTGGAAATCTGTTCCATCAGCCCCGGTGTCTGGGGACACACAGCTTTGTGCTTCTCCTCAAGTGCTCCACCAGGCCTTGGTGTCAGAGACCTTCTGGCCTTACTCCATTTCTGCAGAGTCTGGAGGGGTTTTTGCTGTTTTCCAGAACAGGAGTAGGTGGGTGCAATCACCCCAGGAAGGGTGGTCTGGCAGTGCAGGTTATTTATTCATGGCCTAGAGCTGCATTGAGCACTGCAGAGTCACCGTCCTCTGCTTTTCTCATCGCATCTTGTTTAATTTATGTTTGTAAACAATTGTTTTCTGGACTCTTTCCCCCCATAACTCCCAGGGAAAATTTGACAGGGAGTTTCAAAATACTGGAAATGCACATTTCCCATAAATATGAATTTTTACTGCTTGTTTCTGGGTTTTAAAAATAACTCTGGCCCTGGTTGCAATTATTCTGTTGGGAACAAATTCACCATCATCCCTGGCAGTGTCCAAGGCCAGGCTGGACAGGGCTTGGAGCAGCCTGGGACAGTGGAAGGTGTCCCYTCAGGGAAGSTGGAATAAGATGAGCTTTCAGGTTCCTTCCAGCCCAAACCATTCTGTGATTTTMTGATTCAGGAGAGGTGTGAAATGAGTTTTCTGCTTCCCCCTATACAGCATCCCATCTTTAAATCCAGGAGGTGAGGCACAAAGGTGCTCGTGTCCTCTGCCCTGCTCCACCCCTGCTGTCCCCAAGGCCACTGCTGTCCTGCAGGAGAGCTGTCCCTGCTGGGTTCCTCTGTCCCTCAGCTGTGGCTGTGCCCACCAGGACAATCTCCTGGGCACTGGGGGATTTGCAGGGAGCTCACAGGTTCCCACAGCTCCCTTAAAACCCTGCCCCAGCCCCTCAGCTGCCCCTGGGATGTGACAGAAGATCTGTCAGGGCAYAGCTGCCACCCCTCACCCGGGGAGCTGGGGTGGTCCCCAGCCCTCTCAGGGACACCAGACCACTCTGCTGTGCCGATTCCCTCATCCTCCCTCTCCCTGTTTAATCCCAGCCCTTCCCATGGGATCCCAGGAGCACTCAGCTGTGCTGAGGAGAGCAGGAATCACAGCTCGGCACGGCCTGGCTCGCTAAGGCAAACAAAATATTGCTGGAATTCAGACAGGGAAAAAAAATGGCCCTGCTGTCCTTCCTATTTTTATTTTCCYTTTCAGCCAAGCTGCCTGCTCCATGGGCTTTGGATTCCTTCAGCTGCACAGAAGGGCACGTGATTTATTGAAATTGGAGAGCTCGCAGACACAAAAGGCTGGGAAATTATTTTGTATCTGACACAATCATTAGTGGTATTATTTCTTTTGGAGCTGGGAAGGACACTTATAAAACATGGAACAAGCTGCTAAGGAGATTGCCTAAAGCAGTGATTTTCTGAATGTGCTGCTGGAGACCATTCTTTGTGCTCTGCACATTTATCAAGCTCCAGTTTCTTTTTATGGAAAGGACTCCAAATAATATTTCTGAGGGGTGTTTATGACAGTTTGCCGGTCACCCTCTCCAAATATGTGCCACCTGCTGCTGGCAWGATGTGGAGGTGACTGAGAGAGGCCAGGACACTCTGAACAGGTGTGTGGTGGGGCAGAGGGGCACCCAGAGCTGCTCTGCTGTTCTGTGACCCCCTCTGTGCACCGTGCAAACCTTCCAAATGTGAGCAGGGGGACAGGTATCAGGCTCTAGGGATGCCCTTGGAGGGTGTGGATGCTCTCCTGCGGGTATCCCACCATGCCTGCTGCAGCCAGGACTGTCTAGTGGTCCAGCCTGCTTGGAAGGACTGGTCCAGCTGCAGGGGATGCAGGTGGAGGGCACCTTCTCAGGAAACAGGAGCTGATTTCATCGTGGAACCATCACAGAACAGCCTGGGTTGGGAGGGACCTTAAAGCCCATCCAGTGCCACCCCTGCCATGGGCAGGGACACCTTCCACTGTCCCAGGCTGCTCCCAGCCCCGTCCAGCCTGGCCTTGGGCACTGCCAGGGATCCAGGGGCAGCCACAGCTTCTCTGGGCACCCTGTGCCAGGGCTCCCCACCCTCACAGGGAACAATTCCTTCCCAATATCCCATCCATCCCTGCCCTCTGGCAGTGGGAAGCCATTGTCCCTCATCCTGTCCCTCCAGGTCCTTGTCAAGAGTCCTTCCCCATCATTCCTGCTGGCTCCTTCAGGCACAGGAAAGCTGTCATTAGATCACCCCTAAGCCTCTCCTCTCCAGTCTGAACAATCCCAATTTCCCAGCCTTTCCTCCCAGCAGAGCTGCTCCATCCCCTGATCACCTCAGTGCCTCCTCTGGACTCACAATCAGCTTTCCTGCCCTGGTGGATCCATTTCCCCCCCGGTGTCCAGGGAGCGGCAGGATGGGATGGGCAGAGCCCAGGCTGACCCCTGGCAGCTCTGCCCACACCCTGAGTGGGGCTCCTGCTGCAGGAGGAGGAGGCAAATCCAAGCATTTGGCAACTGGTGCTGGCCAGATCTGCTCTGGGAAACCCTTATTTCCCTGGCTGAGGGGGCTGTGACCTGACTTGAGCACCACTGCTTTCCCAGGGGCGAGTGTGGGGTTTATTATCAGCAACCCCAGCTCTCGTCTGGTGCCTTTCACCAGCAGATCCCAAAGCTTGTGGAAAAAAACCATGTCCCCAAGMCCCTCACCCKCAGRGTTTTYTAACACTTCCAGGGATGGTGATGCCACCAGTACCCACAGCTGTTCCACTGCCAGAACACCCTTTTTGTGGGGTAATTTTTCCCAATATCTAATCTGAACCTTCCCTGTGAGTCTTGGTACTTAGCATCTATCATCAGAAAAAAACATTTTACTGAATAAATAAACTCTATTACTTGCAATGCTCAGAATCCAGGGACAAAAGGGGAACTGTGGACAACTGGTCAGGGACCACTGAATGTGGCACCTCAGACAAACTTAGAAATTCAGTTCTCCTTAAATAACCCAAAATTTTATTGCTCCTCCACAGTGCAGGAATGCCATTAACTATCAAACATCATTAGTGTAGGAACAGGAAACTGCTTTCACACATTCCCACAGTTATTGCTGATGAAATGGAGTTCTCCAAGTGAAGCTGCTTTACACAGGGCACGGTGGACCTGCCTAATTACAGAATAATTAATGAGCCACAGCAGGACCCATTTGAGCCCTATTGCCCCTCTAATTGGCCAGGGCAGGGAGTGGCTCCTTCCTGCTGCTTCCCAGAGCTCTCAGGCCCTGAGGGTCCCTCCTTACCCATCCCAGGCACTATAAAAGGGCAGGAGAGGGGCACTGGAGTGTGCTGAGTGTTTGGTTCTTACTTGTTGGTGGTCTGGTCCTCTCCAACAGGTAAAAAAGGCTCCTGCTCTGGATATTATGGGGGAATTCTGTGGTGTTGAGGCTGGAAGTGTTCTTGAAACTCCTGGTTTGTGCTGAGATATACCTTCCTTGGTTTAATCATGGAATGGGCTGAGTTTTAGCTCAGATGCTCGTGGAGCTGCCTGAAAGGCTGGATAGAGCCTGGGCTGGTTTGGAGTGAGGAGCTGATTCTGGCTGGGCTGGGAGAACACCAGGGCAGGTCCTTGAGCTCTGTTTCCCCTCAGTTCTGCTGTTTTTATTTCTTTTATTCAAAACTTCCTTGAAGCTTTTGTGGGGAGGAAGGAGGTACCCAGAGCCCTTCCTCAATATATTGATAATATTTGGTCTCCAGGGTGAGGAAAGGATGCTCTCCTGGTTCCTCTGGTTATCATAAACCACTTGAAACTAAAACCCAGGTGGATTTGTGAGTGGCACAGATCCCCTCCTTCCATAAAGGCCATTTTTGGGATTTCCTCTTAATGGGCAGTCGAGGAACTTCTCTCTTTTATGACCTTAGAGGAAAATGTACCCTGGGAATGGGGACCTTTTCCTAAAACTTTGATGCTCCTTGCATTCCAGCTGCCATGGCCTCTGCTGTGCCTGACAAGGAGGAGGCTGCCCAGAGCTCTGCAGAGGTGAAGGAGGAGCAGGAGGTTGCCCMGRGAGCCCTGGAGGAGCAGGAGGTTGCCCMGAGWGCCCWGGAGGAGCAGGAGGTTGCCCAGAGTGCCCCAGAGGTGAAGGAGGAGGATGAGCAGCAGGAGGTAAGGTGCTCCCTGTGGGATACAGGGGTGAGGAGCTGGCCCTGCTGTGGCCTTAGGGGAGCTGAGCCCCCCAAAAAAGGGGAGTTTCCTCTGCCCAGGGTGACAACACAGATGAAAATGTGGCCCTAAAGTCCCTGTAAACCAYTTAGGCCCCTGATTCTGGGCTAGGAAAGGTGTTTCTCTAACTCAAATCCTGCCTCGCTGAGAGTTGTGCTCCTATGGAAAAATTCCCAAAGTTTCAGCATCCCTGGGCCCTGCTGCTCTGTCTCTGTCCCTGTGATCAGCAGCATCCCTGCAGGCTAGGGTGAAGCCTGTCAGCTTAAAACCACCTCAGTCCTGGCTGGTGGAGCTTTTCCTGGGAACTTGGCTTTTCAAATAACCATTCCAGGTGAACTGGAAATGGGAATGTGGCAGAGGAATTGAGGCTTCCCCTGACCTCAGTTGTTCCTTGTGCTAGAGGAAAGCGTTCCTGGGGTGAGCCATCATTAGTGCCAAAGCCCCACAGCTTGGGTCACAACTGAGTTATGGATTTAAGGGTGTGAGCAGGGCCGGGGCTCCTCCCTCAGCCAGGACGGGTGGTTTGGTGACAATTAGTTTGGTGACAATTGGGTTGGTGACAATTCCTCCCAAACAGGGAATTCCAGGGCCATGTTTGGAGCTCCACGGCTGTTTTTTTTCTTTGCCCTGGCAGGCTGCAGYGCAGGAGATGGCCAGGCTGAGCCTGCTGAGCTGTGCCCAGGTTTGTGCCTGCTCCAAGGACAGCCAGCCCTGCCCGGGCTCTGTCAGCACCACTGCCGAGAGGGGAGCACAGAGTGTCACCACGGCCACCCTGCAGCCCCACGGTAACCCCTGCCTGCCAACAACCCCAAATCCCTGCTCTGGGAGGGCTYTGGGGCTCCTTCCACACCGGGGAGGAGTCCTGGGCAGGGGAAATGTGCTTCTCCATCACCAGTGAAACCACAGCTCCTGGCTTACAAAAACAGCTAAAGCTGAGCTCTAGTCCCAGCTGTGGGATGGAGAACCAGGGATTGGTTCTGATCTTGACTGTTCTAAAGCTGATTTTTGTGAAGTGGAACTTGAGGTGAAATTGCAGAAAAACAAGTTTTAATGTTTTTGTTCCTCGCCTCCCCATTCTCTCCTCAGTTGCTGCCAAGGGTTGGGATAGACTGGGGGAGAAGCTGCCACTCCTTCAGAAGCCTGAGGAGCAGGTGAGGGTTAAACAGGGCGGCTGTGCTGTCCCTGGCAGGCAGAGGGGCCTGGCTCTTGGGGGTTTCTAAGCTTGGGAGCAATGCAGGCTCCTGTACGAGGAGCTGAGTGCGTGGTGCAGGTTCCTACAAGAGCAAACCCTCCACTGCCCAGTGCCAATTGTCCTGCTGGTGCAGTTCAGGATTTTGGTGACAGACACAGCCCACTCCATTATCTGACTCTCCTCCTCTTCCCCAGATGCCCTCAGACTCGAGGGAGCTGCTCTCATGTGCAGTGGCTGATGTGAGGGRTGATGGGGACAGCAAAGGGATGGAGGTGACAGATGCTGCCMTSCAGAGCAGCGTGGGGGCTGCCAGAYCTGCAGGGAGCAGCAGTGCTGGGGTGGCCCTGGAGCCTGGACAGGAACAGGCAGGTTCCCTTGGGGCAGCAGCTGAGCTGGACAGAGCTGGAAGTGACCATCCCCCCACGGGAAATGAGGAGCCAGGTAAGGAAAGGGTGTGGGGTACTGAAATGGGAACCCTTACAGGGGATGGTCAGCCCCATTCATCACCCCACTGCTCTGGAA